GGGATTACATTTATTGGAGTGAGTATAAAACCCCATGTTTATCCTACATATAGTATGTATATGTATATATATATATATATATATATATGTATATATATATATACATATATATATACACATATTCACATGTATATGTGTATATGTATATATACATATTCACATGTATATGTGTATATGTATATATACATATAGATTTGCATATGCAGTCAATCCTCCTTACTCTTAAAATTCATATTTGCAAATTCACCTACTCACCATAATTTATTTGGGATCCCAAAATCAATTCTTGGATATGCACAGAGTGACAAAAAAAATTTTGAGATGCCCTATGTGAACATTCCTAACTGAAGTTGAATAAAGGTTTAGCTGTTAAATGGCAAATAAGTATCCTTTTCACAATCTATTTAGTGCCATATTTTGTGCTTTTTTTGGGGGGGGTAATCTTGCTGTTTAAAATGACCCTTAAATGTAATGCTGAATGGTGGTCTAGCGTTCCTAAGTGCAAGAAGGCTGCATGATGCCTTACAGAGAAAATATGTGCATAAGATAAGCTTTGTTCGGGTGCAAATCAGTACTGCTGGTTATGAGTTCGGTGTTAATGAATCAACAACATAGTACAACCAGAAAAAGGAAGAGGAAATTTGCTGATCTACACATGATGCCACTCTGGAAAGTACTGAAGTAACTGTTGTAAACAGAGGCTCACAGGAACCTAAACCTGTATTTCCCTTAGGAAGGTTAGAGTTAGGGTGAGGGTTAGTTCTGTATTCACTAATTCAGTGTTCATGGTGACTTTATAGAGCATAAGTACCACGAATGAGGAGAATTGACTCTCTGTGTGTGTATTTATTCCAACTGTGAACTAAGATATTAATATAGGCAACTTAATGTGTGCATATATATGTGTGTATATATACACACATACATATACATGTGTGTACATATACATATTGTATGTAGTATGTGTGTACATACACACACATATATAATGTTGCTGTTGTTCAATTGTGTCCAACTTTTCATGAACCCATTTGGGGTTTTCTTGACAAAAATACTGGAGTAGTGTATCATTTCCTTCAGCTCATTTTACAGGTGAGGAAACTGAGGCAAACAGAGTTAAGTGACTTGCCCAGGGTCATACAGCTGATGTCTAGGGCCAGATTTGAACTCATGTCTTCCTGACTCCCTGGCACTTTATCCACTGTTCCATATATATATATATATATATATAGAAGTGTGTGTGTGTGTGTGTGTGTGTGTGTGTGTTTGTATGTGTGTGTGTGTGTGTGTGTGCGTATTCTAAAAACATAAAAGGGAAATGATTTTGACCAGGAGGACTTGGCTACCAAGCAGAAGGAGATGCAGGAACTGAGACAAGAGTGATCACCTACAAAAATATTTATAGCAATTCTTTTGTGACAACAAAGAATTGGAAAGTGGTGACCATCGACTAGAGAATGGTTGAACAATGTATGGTATATTTCAGAGTAATTTGGGAAGACTTGTATGAGTTAATGCAGAATGAAGTGAACAATTTAGCAATAGCAACAATATTGTAAAGGCAAACAACTTTGAAAGACTTAAGAACTGTAATCAACAAAATGACCATCCAGAATTCCACAGCACGCTACCTGCCTCATGACAGAGAGTTGGTAGACTCAGGGTACAGATGGAGATATAATGTTTTTGAACAAGGACAACGTGGGAATTTTTTTTGCTTGACTATATATGTTTGTAAAGGGAATTTCGTTTTTCTTAGGGAGGGAGAAGCAGAGGGAGAAAATGCAAATCTTCATGGAAATAAAATCAATTTAAATTTTTTAAAAGAGAGAGAGAAACTGTGAGAAAGCCAGCAGGCAGATCTGAACGGACAATCTTCTGTTAACCCACTGAAGCTGCAGTAGTAGTGCTAGAATCCAAAGCTCTGGAGTGGTGAGAGTTGGCCCAGAGAACACAGCTGACCTGGGGAACTCATGATTCCTAGAAAAGCCAGATTTCCCTCTTCCAGTTTTCTGAGGATGCTAGCTTCTCTGTTCCACATCTTTTGCTTTTGTTTAGGTCTTGTTTACCTACTATAAGACCGTGTTGGCTGAAAATGCTAAGCTGTTCATATATTTCATTTAAAGTTTACAAATAAGGATGGGAAAGAGCAAAACTTATTCTAGAGAGACAAAAAATTTGGTCTATGGGAGCAGATCTGGGGGCCTAAAGCAATTAGAATAACATGATAGTACAGCACTAGGCTGCACAAGCTTAGTATATGAAATTTATTATCTATTTCCAGGAGTATCTGACTCCTGAGGTGGTGAGAATGACCTGCCAGGGAGCTCACTTTCACTTTCAAACCAACAGCCACCATTCTGGGTGCACTGTGTTCAAAAAGAAAGGCCCCTCCCCTGAAGCAGGAGAGAGTGGAAAGAAAGCCATGCCTACCCTGTCCCCAGGCTGCCTTGCTGTGGACCGCTACCTGCTGCCCACAGACCATTTTAAGCTGCACATGAGAGACAGCTTTTTGAGAAAACTTTTTGATCTCTCAATCTGTTTTTTTGGGGGGTGAGGTGGGGGGTCTACAAAATGGTAGATTCTCCTCTTTTTTTTTTAAGATCAACAAACAATAGATTCAGTAGGATCTTATATATTTTACATCTCTAAATCATCTCAGTAACTGAAAATATGATCTACCATAAAAAATCCTCTATAAAGACTTACCCATTCCCTTCACATGTTTATATTATATGATAATATATATTTTATGTACACATGTATCAAGTATACTTTTTAAAGTATTTATTTTATTTTAATTTATGGAATAAAACAAGTATTTCCGTAACACAGTATAATAAAAAAAAAAGATGATTGTGCATGAAACTGAAAATCTATCATGTACAACTTGCTATTCCTTTTAAATATATAATAAAGTTATCATGTAAATTTTTTTTCCTTCTCTTCTCCACTCCCTATCCTAGAGCTGGATACCATTAGACACAAATATGTGTGTATTTATGTGTAAGTGTGTGTATATATAAATACACATATATAATATAAATGTAAAATCATTCCATACACACTTCTATTTATTGTTTCTTTCTCTGGATACAGATAGCATCTTCCTTCATATGTCCTTTGTAGTTAATTTGGGTATTTATAATAGTCAAAATGACTTATTCACTCAAAGTTGTTCTTAAAACAATATTGCTGTTACCGTATATACAATGTTCTCTTGGTTCTGCTCATTTCACTCTTCATTATTTCATGCAAGTCTATCCATGTTTTTTTTTAAAGATTATTGAGTTTATCATTTCTTATAGCACAGTAGTATTCCATCACAATCATATACTACGACTTGTTCAGCCATTTCCCAATTGATGGGCATCTCTGCAATTTCCAGTTTTTTGCCACCACAAAGAAAGCTGCTATAAATATTTTAGAACATACATGTTCTTTTCCTTTTTATCTAATCATCTTTGAAAATAGACTTAGTAGTGGTATACTCTAGGTCAAAGAGTATAGGCAATTTAACAACCCTTTGGGCATAATTCCAGATTGCTCTCCAAAATGGTTGGATCAATTCACAATTCCACCAATTAATGTTCCAATTTTTCCACATCCCCTCCAACATTTGTTGCTTTCCTCTTAAATCATTTTAGCCAATCTGATAGGTATAAAGTGATGTCTCAAGGTTGTTTTAATCTGCATTTCTCTAATCAATAATGATTTAAAGCAGTTTTTCACATGACTATAAATTGTTTTGGTTTCTTCATCGGAAAACTGCCTGTTCATATCATTTCACCATTTATTAATTTTCCTTGATGCCAACATAGACCATTCTCATAAAGATTTTCTAAAGGTGAAAAGGAGTTCTATGCCTTGTCTCCTTCCCCAGACTGCCCTGAAGAGCCATCTATTTCTTTGTATGGATTAAAAGTTGTCGATGCCCTATTATTGATGGCCACTATGTCACTATCATCTCAGAAGTGGAAGCACTAGGTAGCATGGTAGGCTAAATTTGAGAGTCAGGAAGATAAGTTCAAATTCCATCTTAGACATTTACTAGCTGTGTGGTCCTGGACAAGTCCCTTAATCTCTAACTACATCAGTTTCCTCATCTGTAAAATGGGGTAATAATAACACCTGTCTCTAAGAGCTATTTTGAGGATCAAATGAGGTAAATTATACTAACATCTTACAAAAGTACCATTTAAATGCTAGCTATTGTTTTTATTATTGTTATTATTACTATCATTTTTATCAGTTTTACGGGTCAATATGGCAAAATTCAAAATTTCACCTAGTAGCCGAACTTCTAGTGATAAATTTCTCTATATTTGACTACTATAGTTCTCAGGCAGCAAAGTCTGTCACTGGGACTGTATCTGGAGACTTTAGAGCCTAGCACACATTTAGCAGGTATATTATTTTGAGGAGCTATATTCTCCAGGGATCTGTGAGGGCTTCTGCTGTGTGGAGTAAGTTAGCCAGTTAATAAGCATTTATTAGGCACTGGGGATACGAAGAAAGACAAAACTATTCCCTGCCTTCAAGGAGCTAACATTCTAATGAAGACATCACAGGCAAGGTGCAGCTAGGTGGCACAGTGGATAGAGCACTGGGCCCTGGAATTAGGATGACCTGAGTTCAAATCCAACCTCAGACACTTCACATTAGTTATTGTGATCCTAGGCAAGTCACTTAACCCCAGTTGCCTCACAAAACAAAACAAAGTCATCACAGGCAAGTGGAAGAGGAAAGAAGGCTTTGAAGAGCTAAGTTAGAACTCTCCCAAGAAGTAGAGGTAGACTAGAGAGAGAGAGGGAAAAAGGAGAGAATGGGGGCTGCCTCTGTAGTGAAAAGTCTCTGCTGGCAGATGTAGCTGCCATTTCAAAGGATAAAAAATAAATGGACGAGGAAGGGAAAACATTTTTTTCCTCAAATGAGGGCAGAGGAAATTGCAAAAGTAGGGGAAGATACACAAGCAATTAACACTGAATCTTTTGGCAATCTTTATTTATGCTCAAACATCTCAGTTACATATGGCAGTATGTACAAGCTTAGTGTTGGAACAATAATTATTATTGAGCTGTATTCCCTGCTCTTGCATCGGGGAATGTACGTTCCCAGGTCACAAAGGGAACAAAAAGATCCCATTCCCCTCCAAGAGTTTCTGCTCCCACAGGGCTTGAGGAAGAATGGGCAATGGTCAATTCTCTTTGCAAACGGACTGTCACTTTGCTCTCCAGACAATATAGACAGCTGTGCAGAACTATGTAATCCCTTCCTCCCTCCATAAAACCTAAGAAGGGATTTTCCTCCTTGTGTTGATACCAAAAACTCAACAAAGGGAAACAGATGAAAGAAGAGATGTCCAAAGGAGCTTCCCATCAGACATCTTGAAAGTGTATGTGCCTTTTCAAGGGAATGATTTCAGGTTGGGAGGTGATCACAGGATCACCTACTTAGAAGCCCATTGAAAACAGAGCTCATCAAAAACTATATTATGTTAAATGACCCCATTTAAATATATTCCCCCATCCTACCTCCTCTTACTCACACCACATTCATTGTTTGCACTTTTGGACTCAATTTTGCCCATGAAAATAAATGTACTTTATTACTCTTTCTGGAAGGCTCATCGATTGGGAACACACTTTGTTTTCTGTTTTCACTCTTCCAATATGCTATATTGATTTTGCATCACATATTTTGTTAAACAAACTCTTTTCCCAGCCCTAGGACTAAGTCATCTGTTTGTTTTGCAAATGGCATCAGCCAGGAGGTTTTTTTTGAGCCTTCTTGTGAACAGTAGAAATGGACCTTCTTAAAGAGATTTAAAGAAGTGAGGATGGATATTCAGAATCCTCTTAGAATAACTATACAGCAGCTGGGGAGGATACCCGGCATGAAGGCCTCATCAAATTCCCAGTGATTGAACTGGCCTGGGGACCCTTGAGACAAAATGCCTCCTGCCCTTTTATTCAGGACTTTAGGAACCCAGAGGTGAATTCCACTGGCTGAAAGTTGGGCACAGAACAGATGATGGGGGGCACAAAAAAAAGGAAAAGTAATTAGTCCTTTTAAAAAAAACTCCCCCCCCATACTGTATCTATATAGCACCAAATGGAGACAGCAGTGAAGAGAATATATAGGCACTACAAACAGGAAGGAATGTTGGCAGCTCAGATATAATGGGCCTGATGGGTTTCATATCCAGGAGCTGGTTCTTGGGGACACTGCTGATTCACAGGAAAGAATTGCCCATCTGGGTGGCCTTTCTGCCCCTCGACATAAGAGGCCCAGCTGAGGGGTCTGTCTTCGCAGAGGTTCTCAAATGCTCAGGGCCACTGAAAGGTTATCTTGACTCGGAAGTCCCCAAACAAATGAAAGCCAGACTTTCCATAACCAACAGCACAGCCATGGGAGAGGAGTGAGTTGTGGTCAATCCAGAATACCACAGGAGGCAAAAGAAAGCCCCCCACAAAGTCACACGGAGGCTACTTCTGGTCCCTGTCGAGGTGTGTAGATACCTAGTGGGAGAAATAGTTTTATGCTGCGTTGAAAAGTTAGAAGAATGTATTCCCCTCCCTTCTTTGCAGAGTTAGGTGACTATGGGTGTGTGATATTGTATATATTGTCCGACACAATCAGTGTTCTGGTTTTACCAAAATCTCTCTCTCTCTCTGTCTCTCTCTCTGTCTCTCTCTCTGTTTCTCTCTCTTTTCCCACCCCCTTGTTCTCTCTTAATAGAGAGATTCATTGGGTAGGGGAAGGGAAGGGATATATTCAGAAATTAAGGTGATATCAAAACGATATTAATGAAAATTTAAGAAGAAAATTTTTGAACAGAAAGAGTGCTCTGTAGACATCCTAAAAAGTTAGACAAGGAATCATTTCCTCCCCCCCTTATTGTCATAGCAATAGTATCCTTCTCAGCTTTAGCAAAGCACTGTGTTCTTTACACACCCAGCCAAGCTTTCTTTTAAACAAGTCTTATACAGGGAAGTAGATTTACAATGAGAATAAATCAAAGGATGTTTGCTCTACAGGATTCTCCATTTTATAAAGGGATTCACTGCAGGAGTCCATTAATTAGGTAGCTCCATATATGTTTTTCAAATATGATTCAATTTACAAAAATTTGATTTATATTCAAGTTTTGGAGACTATCTACTAGAGTAGTATGAATTCAACAGGTTTCAAAGAGCCAAATTATGGTGTGGAAGGATATTAAATGCCCCCTCCCACTTTAGAAATATTAAGAAATTATATTTTCTCAGCATCTGAAGTCTTTGGACCATGAGAGTGTAACCTTGTGAGTATATAAATGCCAAGGAGACCTTGTCCTAGCCTGGAATCAAAACGCCTAACCACTTTCTAAAGAGAAGTGAAGTCAAAGATTGGGGAAGAACTCTGGTCTCCCTGAAAATGATCCAGAGTGGTGACTGGCCAAGGGCAGGAGCTGCTGTGGCTAATCCAATTAAGAGTCATTTTCCTTTCCCTACCCCTTGATCAGATTGAATGGGTTAGGGAAAAAATTCTCTAGGGTGTCCCAACATTTTGAGTTACTTCTGTTCTGTCTGCCGTGTCAAAGACTATCCCTCAAACTCTGAACTCTGGCTTAATCTTGACTATGGAATTTTGTCTTTTTTTAAAAAATGCTATAAACATATATGAAACCCTTGCCTGGGGAGAAAGAGTCATGACCAGCAAGAGGAATTCTATCATTTGGATCTCCCTCCAAGCAGCAATGGTTGCAAATATTAATATATGCATGACATATATAAATAAGTATTATATCTGACAAAACTGAAATGTAAAACACAAAGTACCAAAATTTTTCTTCCATGATGGAAAGTGGGAACTGCCATAAACTTGGTAGAAGAAGGCAGTGGAAGGAAAAAGGCCCAGGTCATTGGGGCCAACATGTCCCCAAGGACTCATAGCAGCCTAGACAAATGCATGGGTACCCCAGTCAATGGCAGGCAAAGGCTCAGAGATGACCAGGGAAAGCTCATGGGAAATAAATGGGAGGGGGTCAAAATATATAAAAGACTGGTTGCCAAACCTGAGGGTCTTCGTATGTCTGACACATGCCAATGGGGTGAGGCCGGTAGACACCCAAACTGTCCCAGAATTGGGAAGTAGAGATGAATTGAAGAGGCAGGGGGAAGGCCTAGATCAAGAGAAATTAAGGAAATTTAAGAGCTGTGGATTAGAAATCAGGAATCCTAGTATCTAGTCCAGGGGTGGGCAACCTGGGGCCCCAAGGTGACATGTGGCCCTCTAGGTCCTCAAATGCAGCCCTTTGACTGAATCCAAACTTCACAGGAGAAATCCCCTTAATAAAAGGATTTGTTCTGTAAAACTTGGACTTAGTCAAAAGACCACACCCGAGGACCTGGAAGGCCACACGTGGCCTCGAGGCCACAGGTTCCTCACCCCTTATCTAGTCCCAGCTTTGATGCTAACTCATCATGTGATCTTGAACAAATCATTTAGTTCCTCTAGGCCTCAGTATCATCCTGATAAAATGGGGAGAAGACCCTGCCTAGCACAGGAATATTGCTGTAGGAATCAAGTGAGATCATGGATACGAAAGCTTCTCATGATGGGGATGGTAAAAGCTCCTTCAAACAGGATATTGTGAAGCTCTGATGACATAGCGTGTTTAAAAAGCTTGGAACATTCTGAAGTACTATATAAACATCAGTTATTTTATTGGTGTACTGGACAGAGAACTGGATTAGGTGACCTAGATACCAGTTCTGGCTCCCAGATCAGAACACACACCCCAACCTGTCTGGAAGGGGTTGTGAAAATACACAGGTTTCGATTTTACCTTCCTAGCATCTCTCACATATGCTCCTTCTCTCCTCTGACACTGCCACCACCTGGTGCAAGTCCTCATCACGTCACACCTGGACTACTGCAGTGGTCACAAGTCTCTCCCTACTCGGTTTTATCTTCCACTTAGTTATCAAAGTGATTTCCCCAATGCTCAGGTCTGACCACGTCACTGCCCTACTCCACTGACACACCATCACCACCAGGATTAAATATAAAATTCTCTCTTTAGCATTTGAAGCCTTCATACCCTGGCTCTTTCCTACCTTCCCAGGTTTTGGTGACTCTGGCCTCTCTGTTGTTCCTCACACCAGACATTCCATCTTCCCACTCTGGGCATTTTCCCTGGCCATCCCCCATGCATGGAATGCTCCTCCTCCTCTTTTCTGCCTCTTGGCTTCCCGGGCTTCCTTCAAGTCCCTTCCACAAGAAGCCTTTGCCCATCCTCTGAATTCTAGTGTCTTTCTTCTTTCGATTATTCACTATTTATCTTGTATGTAGCTTGTTTGTATACAATTCTGCATATTTTCTATCCCATTAGCTCCTGAAAAAGGAGCTTTTCCCCATCCTTTCTTTGAATCCTTAACTCCTAGTACAGTGTGGCACATAGTAGGTGCTTAATAAATATTTATGGACTGACTTTCATTTGAAGCAAGTTTACTAGGTATGTTTGAACTTTTATTACAAAAACAAATCAAAAACCCATTCCTCTTGGTTTGCAAACAATTAACATTTGGGTTTTCAGGTTGAGTAAATGAATAGAGTAACGCAGACTGTCTCTAGAATCCTCCATCTTCTCCATGCCTGCTGTGTTACCATCCTGAGAAACATCTGCCCTGGGGCCCTCCTCTCCTCATTGAAAAATTCCTCCCTGGGTACCACCATTTTAGGAAGGGCCCCAGAAGTGCTTCATTTTGCTCACACCTGGACTCTTTCTGGAATCTTCCTTACCTGCCATTCTGTCCCTGCACCCTCCCACTTCTAGTTCCCCTATTTGTGTTGTCTCTCATCATTAGAATGCAAGCTCCTTGCGGGCAGGGATTGTCTTGCTTGCTTGTATTTGCATCCTTAACTTGGCAGAGTTCCTGACACAGAGTAAGTGCTTTATCTAATTAAGGTTGGTTCAATGCCAGGATTTTAAGGACAGGGAGACAGGAATCAGGTATAATTCAATCAATCAACAAAGATGTGAAATATGAGCCACTGTTAGGCACTGTGATAGAAAGACAAAAGTGAAAGTTCCTGCTCTCATGGAGCATTTTATAGTTTACATTTTAACAAGTTACATTTTAACTGAGGCAACAATATATACACTATAAGTATGTATGTAAAATATACAAAATGAAAACAAGGTTGTTTTACGAGAGATTGCAAGTTGTTAGGGGAGAGGGACATGGATGGAGAAAAGGCTTCTTTGTTCCGCAGCATAATGCCCTGCACATAGTAGGTGCTTTGTAAGTGTTGGTTGGTTGAATGAATGAACAAATGAATGATAAGATTATTATAGGGCTGGGAAGAAGCCATTCTACCATATTCAACATTGTCTAGATCCTTATTTGAGTCCCCCATGGGAAAACATAATGTTTGCAAAGCGCTTAGTACAGTGCCTGGCACATAGTAGGTGCTGTGTAAATGCTTGTTCCCTTCCCCCCTTGTTTGCTGTTCCTCACATACTACACTCCACTTCCTGTCTCCATATCTTTGTGCTGGCCATCCCTGATGCCTAGAATTCTTTCCCTTTTTTCATCTCCCCTGTTGACATCCCAGGCTTCCTTCAAGATTCTGCTCAGATGCCTCCTTGTGCAGAAGACTTTCCTTCGTACTGAAGCTTTGCCCTTTAGGTTACTTTCCATCTATTCCATTTGTATCTTATATGGACCTTGTTATTTATAACCCATCTCCTTGACACTATGTAAATATTTTGTGGTTTTGCCCTTCTTTGTATCCCCAGCACTTAGCACAGGGTCAGGAACTTAGGAGGCTGCTCTAAAAATGGTTGTGGATTATTTGATTGGCCTTTCTTCCCTTGAGGTTGCTAGTAGGCAGCATACTTAGGCAGGGAAGGCCTTGGAGTACTGCTTCAGCTGTTCACATGAATATAAAACAACAGATGCTAGAAAATTCGAGAACAGAAAGATCAGATAAATATCTATCTCTACATGGCACAAGAATTGAGGTAAGGAGGTCTAGCATTCCTAAGTAGCTTCCCTCATGTGAGTGTTATTCTGTGTTGTGAATGTCTGGAGAAATCTCATGTACCAGACTATGTTACAAGTTGCCTGAAGTCTTGGGCATGAACAACGTTGAAGGCATCAATGCCACTGTAAGTAGGTCGACAACAGCTACGTTCTCCCTTGATAGCACTTTCTGATGTCCCCTCTCCCGGGCATTCTTTTTTCAGAGTTCACAGGACCCTGAAGGAGGGGGTAGGAGGAGGAAGGTTGGAAGAGTTGGCCTTTGGGGGATTTTACTAGAAGAAGTGAGCATTGCACATTTTTTTCCCTGAAACATTTGGAGCCTCCTCTCGTCCCTTGTCTCTTTCTGATAGACTTAGGACACATTAGACATACTTACTGTTCTGTTCTCCTTGCTCGATTGCATTTTTGGTGTCTTGAGAAGTCTTTCCTGGTACCATTTGTGTCATGGTTGTTCCTTCCAAATAACTTATTCACCCAATGTGTGTCATCCACAGTGTGGCCCCTAGGCACAATTATACAAGAGGTGAAGCTTGTCTTTGGCCTCTCATCAAAATATATCCATCCTATGCCCGATCTCTTTAGGGACTTTCCTACTCTCAGCCTAGGGACCTATAATAATTAATTCCTGCTTATAGAATAATGACTTAATAAGACCATAAGAGGAAATCTCCCAGTGTGTTGAGTGGATCCCTCAGGCTACTGATAAGAGACACACAGAATGATATTGTATATGTATAGAAAGACTGTAATCTGTATCGTTAAAAGGGAAATCCATGAATTAGTTTATTCAAATAAAGTAGATTCAGGAGGGCCTCTGTTTAACAAAGTTTTATGAATTAATGGGTATGTCTATTGTATTTGAAGGTAACAGACTGCCTTTCTTTTCATAAAAAAAAGAATTGCATCATAGATTACTTCACAAGTATAAAGTGTATTTCAACTAGGATTTTTGAAAGACAATGCATCCATCCAAAGGTGTGACTCAGTGGGTAGAGATTTCAGACCCTATGGTGAACCAAGGAGAAGATGAATTGGGCAGTGCACCCATTACAAAGTCAGGCTAGGCTCCTGACTACTCGTACTCATACAAATATTAGACAATGGCTGTCCAGGTTGTTGCTGCAAACTAAATTGTGGCTTCTCTCCTCAAATCAGGGATCAGCTAAGAATTGATTCTTAGCTGAGAATGAGTATGAGAGAAAGATAGGGCAGGGAGGTAGGTGTAGATGGGCAGGGGGAGAAGCAGGTACAGCTGTCTTCCACTTTGACCAAAGAAGGTGTGGAATAAATCAGTTGGAATCAATGATGAATATTATGAATATTATGATTGCAAGGCTGCCCAGGAATAAAATGCAGCTGTTTGTGGAGGGAAAGCAGGCATTGGGCAATAGCCCAGTAAGAACTGGCCTCAGAGAATTAAAGTAGATTACATCAGCCAAGGATCCTGACATTTGAAGGGTGGAGTTTAATTACCTGACCTGGGAATGTGGCCCAGGGTTTTCACTGGCTGCCAAAATGGTTGTGAGTCAGTCCCTGGATCACTCTGAGCCCTGCTCTTACCTCTTATGTAAAGAAAGGCCCACTCCCATCTACCTCCAGGAATACGTACTTCACAAAGGGCTTGGAGATGGCTTCCTTCATATTCACCAGAAATACAGTGATTTTCTGATTTGAAGTCTTAGGTAAAGCTAGATGGAGGAAATATGGAGAAAAGAAGGATTAGTTCTGACACAACAAATGATAAGCCTGCCACCTGTATGTAGTAACAGGTGGAGAAAACATTTCTTTTTTTCATGCCTCAAATATTTAATTTTATTATTTTCACTTTACCAAAAATCTATTTTCTTTCCTTTCCCCTTAGAGTAAAGAACATTTCTAAACCTAGCCAGTGACTTTCTCAGTAAGTCAACAAGCATTTATTAAGCACTTAATCTGTGCCAGGCACCATGCTAAGTACTGGGGATACAAATACAAGCAAAAAGAAAGACATTCCCTGCCTTCCAAGAGCTTACATTCTGAAGGGGGAAGACAATGCTTAATAGGGAAGCAGAAAATTAAGACAACTCTGAGGTACCTCCTCACACCTATCAGATTGGTTAATATGACAGAAAAGGAAAATGACAAGTGTTGGAGGAGATGTGAGAAAATTGGGACACATGCATTGCCGGTGGAATTGTGGACTGGTCCAACTATTCTACAGAGCAATTTGGAACTATACCAAAGGGCTATAAAACTGTGTGTACCCTTTGACCAAGCATTATTACTACTAGGTCTGTATTTCAACAAGATAAAAAACAAAAAAGAAAAAGACCTAGATGTACAAAAATATTTATAGCAGCTCTTTTCGGGTGGCAAAGAATTGGAAATTGAGAAGATGTCCACCAATTGAGGAATGGCTAAACAAATTGTGGTATATGATTGTGATGAAATACTATTGTGCTATAAGAAATGATGAGCAGGTGGATTTCAGAAAAACCTGAAAAGACTTACATGAACTGATGCAAAGTGAAGTAAGCAGAACCAGGAGAACATTGTAGTACACAGTAACAACAGTATTGTAAGATGATCAGCTGTGAATGGCTTAGCTTAAATCAGCTTAGATCAAATTAGCTTAGATAAAAGACAATTCTGAAGGACTTATCATGAAAAATGAAATCTACTTCCAGAGAAAGAACTGATGGAATCTGAATGCAGATTGAAGCATGCTGTTTTGGGTTTTGTTTTTTTACTTTCTTCATTTTTTTCTTGGGTCTTTTTGAGTGTGTTTTCTTTCACAACATGACTAATATGGAAATATGTTCTGCATGACAGCACGTCTATAATCTTTATCAAATTCTTGCCTTCTCAATGAAGGGGGACAGGAGGGAGAGTGGGAAAGAATTTGGAACTCAAAATTGTGAAAAACAAAGGATAAAAATTGTTTTTACATATAATTGGGAAAAAATGTTAAAAGTTAAAAAAAGAAAAGGAAAAAGAAATCTTGCACCAATGCAACCTGTTGGCAACCTCACTGTGGATCCGTTTAGTTTAGAAAATATCTTTTGAAGGACCTGAGTTTAGAGTCAGAGGACTCAGGGTCGGGTCCTGGAACTACCACTCAATCAATACCTGTGGTATTTTAGGCAAGTTAATTAACTTTTGGGGCCTTAGTTTCCCCATCTGCAAAATGAGGGGATTACACTTGACACCTCCTAGCTGTGTGACCCTGGGCAAGTCACTTAACCCCATTGCTTAGCCAAAAGAAAAAAAAATACAAACAAAACAAAATGAAGGGATTAGACTCAATTACTTCTGAGGTCTTTTCCAACCAGAGGCATTATGAGACTCAAATGAAATAACATATGTAAAGCTTTTTGCAAGCTAAAAGTGCTATACTAAATTAGCACAAGTAGTTATTCATTATTATTATTCACCTATGGGTTACCAGGCTTCCAGTCTGGTGATGACTCTATTCCCAGAACCTTCTACTACACTCCTGCAGACTTCACAAAGGGCTTGGAGACTGCTTCTTTCACATTCACCAGAAATATAGTGATTCCCAGATGTTTATAAAGCAATACGGAGGTATACTGGTAAATATCTAACAATCAGACTGTGGGGAGGGGGAGAGGTATATATACACACACTTTTAAGCTTAATCTGCACTTATTAACACTTTCTTAAATCTAGAAAATTAAAAGAATCAATAAATCATGCCATGATTTGTAGTGATTGCTGATTTCTGAAATTTAAATATTCACGCTGAAAATTCAACAATCAGCTCATGCAAGCTGGTTAGAGCTGTTTCTAGCACACCCCTGCTTACAGCTCTAAAAGTATAAAAGTAAAGCTTCTGAAATTCCAGAAAGCTTCCCTATAAAATCAAGCAAAATGCTCTGTCTCCCCCAAAATAGAACCTGATCTCTTGCATCTATGGATAATAATCTGCTTGCTTATATTTAGTATACTATTCATGTTGAGATCTAGAAGGGACCATAGAGCTCATTCAATCCAAACCCCTCATTTTATAGATGAGAGAACTGAGGCCCAGAGAGGTCTAACGATTAACCCAGGCAGTAAGTGGCAGAGCTGCGATTCAAACTCACTTCCTGCCAGACTCAATTAAGATATTAGTTTATTTGTTTGAATTGCTTTCCCCCCCTTCTTTTTCTTTTTAATTTTTTGCTCCAAAGGATGGCTATCTGGGAAGGAGCAAGGGAGGATGTATTGGGAAATGATGGTGATATGGAAACAAAAGGTAATAATAATCAATAACTATAAGGAAGAACTATGGGAACTGAAACCTAGATTGATCATGGGAATTTGTTGTGAGCTTTCTTTTTGGTCCAGTTTGAAACTTAAATCAGCTGAACTATGCTTGTTCCATTTCTGTTTAGAGAACATCTTATCATTCAGTTGAGGCAGCTGGTGGTGCAGTGGATAGCACACTGGGCCTGAAGTCAGGAAGACTTGAGTTCAAATCCAGTCTCAGATGATTATCAGTTATAACCCTGGTCAAGTCACTTAACCTCTTTTTGCCTCAGTTTCTTCAACTGTAAAATAAGGATAATAATGGCACCTTCCTCCATCATTATATGGATCAAATGAGATAATATTTGTAACCAGCGAAATGCCTGCCACATAGTGGGTGATAATAAATGCTCCTTTCCTTTTAAAAGAAAAACATTATATAGGCCAGTTAAAACCACTGAACTGTTAAGGTTTGGTTGGGTTTTTTTTTTAATAGTATTTCACATCATTGATTCAGAGCTAGAAGGAATCTGAGAGATCATATGGTTTAACCCTCTTATTTAGGGCAGGCAGTGGATAGAGTACTGTACTCAGAATCAGGAAGACTGATCTTCCAGAGCTCAAATCTGATCTCAGACACTTAATAACTATGTGACCTTGTGCAAGTCACTTAACTCTAGTTTCCTCAGTTTCCTCATCTGTCAAATGAGCTGGAGAAGGAAATGGCAAACCACTCTAGTATCTTTGCCAAGAAAACCCCAAAATGGGGTCACGAAGAATTAGACATGACTGAACAATTTATTTTTACAGATGAGGAAACTGAGGTCCAGAAAAAGGGAATGACTAAAGTCACACAGGCGATTAATAGAAGGACTGCATAGTACTGTGTTTAGAATAGTGCCTGGCACACAGTAAGTATGTAATACGTATCTATTGACTGACTGGAATTTAAGAGCATTTGAAGGACCAAACTGTTTCAAGTGACATACTTATTTCAAAGTGAGATAATAATGTCTGCTTTTAATTATTTGTCTTTAAAATACTTTTACAGGTAGGAAAAATTATAGTAAATGATAGTAAAATTACCAAAAAATTAAAAATTGTTTAAAATTTTTTGTGTCAATTCAAGTAATTGATGAGTCTAGTCTCAGTTTCAGTGGTAGAAGAAGAATCCAAAACAAGACTCTCTGAATCCAAAATCTAGCCCTTGGTCCACTGTGCCATACTGTCTCCATGGTTTGGAGAGAAACAAAATAACACAGTTCACTTCAGTTTGGGGTTCATAACTGTCTTTGGTTCAAGGCTCTAAACAAGATGTACATGGATTTGCAATAATTAGGTTCCTAGCCTCTAAGGATAATTTGTACATTCCCTGCTTCATTTTTGAGTCCAATGGGTTCTTTTCTTGACCATGGTACCTTGAAAGACAAATGGAATTTATTGTTGGCAAATAGATTATCAAGGAAATCCCACAGGAATGAGAGGTGGCTATGCTACATAATTGTCAGCTATTTTTCATAATTTAAAGCACTACATAATTGTCAGTTTTTATTCATTCATTTTAGCATCAAAGAAGAACATAATTCTTAGATATTTGAGTTGTGAGGATAAAATGAGATAATATTTTTCTTTTTTTGCTAGGCAGTCGGGTTAAGTGACTTGCCCAGGGTCACACAGCTAGTAAGCATCAAGTGTCTCAGGCCAGATTTGAACTCAGGTCCTCCTGACTCCAGGGCCAGCGCTCTAACCATTGTGCCACCTAGCTGCCCCCTCAAATGAGATAATATTAATAAAGCATTTAGCACCACACTGCCTGGCACATAGTAGGCACTATATAAATATTACTGTTGGTATTATTATTGTTGTTACATGCTTCATGTAATTGAATCTTAAAACCTCAGAACCTTGGATCTACAAGGACTGATTTTATAATTTAGCTCTGCCACTTCCTACTTGCAGCTATAAGAAAGTCACTTAAACTCTCTGGGCCTCAGTCTCCCCATTTGTAAATTGGAAGTGATAATATACTACTTACCTTATAAGGGCAGTGTTGAGAACCAAATGAAATGTTGAAAATGCTTTGTAAACCTTAAGGTGCAGGGTTGTTATTGTTTAATCGTGTCCCACTTTTAGTGACCCCATTTGGGGTTTTCTTGGCAAAGACACTGGAGTAGTTTGCATTTCCTTCTCCAGCTCATTTTCCAAATGAGGAAACTGAGGCAAACAGGGTTACATGACTTTCCCAGGGTCACACAGCTAGTAAGTGTCTGAGGCTGGATTTAAACTCAGGTCTTCCTAACCCCAGGCCTAGCACTCTATCCACTGTATCACCTAGCTGCCCTAAAGTGCTGGGTAAATGTTAACTATTATTAGACAACCTCTGAAGTCCCTTCCAGGTCTGAGGTTCTAAGATTCAAATTTATGAATCATATAACAACAACAATAATAATAGCTAGCATGTATATAGTGCCTTCTATGTACCAAGCACTGTGCTAATAAGTGCTTTGTTAATATTAGCTTATTGAATCCTCACAACTTGAATATCTAAGAACTATGTTGCTCTCTGATATTCAAATGAACGAATACAAACTGACAATTATGTAGTGCTTTCAAATTTACAAAACACTATACGCATTATCTCATTTGAACCTCACAATAACCCTGTCATTATCCCCATTCTATAGATGATGAAATAGAAGTTAAGTCAATTGGGCCCATAGCTGGTCAGCACAACAGGAATGATCCCAGGGTGGGAGTGAGAGGCCCTCATGTGACTTCTTGATAGACGTTTGAAAGAAATATGGAAAAGTTCTTACCATCACCCATCCATGTGTTTGAAGAAAGTGATTTGGTGGGACTGGAAAGTTAGCAATTCTACATTTCCCTCAAATACATTTAGGTTCTGTTCCAGATCACTTTTTTTTTTAATGTACATGGTATGCCAGCACATGTGGACCTTCTTCTTCCAATGTGAAACAACGTCTCTGTCCCATAGACTTCCACCTCCACCCCCTCCCAGACACACCCTCTTATCACAGATAAGTAACACATGACCAGACACAGTGTTAACAAGGCTAGTACAGGACCAGCCAGTCTGCAGTTGGTTACAAGGAAGGCTTTGTTCCTGAATTGGTGATGGTCTTGACCTGATGGAGTTAAGCAAGTTCCGAATCGGGCCCTGAGGGTAGAATGAATCAATCATTCACAATGAATAAACAAGCAAATCTCAGTCTGGTGGCAGATTTGACTGAAGCCAGATGCCTTTAATGAGTAGGAACTGTTCCTCTAAGTTCAGGTGGAACAGTGGATAGAGATCTGGGTCTAGAGTCAGGAAGACTTGAGTTCAAATCTGGCTTCAGACTAGCTCTGTGACTGTAGACAAGTCATTTAACCTTCATCTTCCTCTGTTTCCTCAACTGTAAAATGAGGACAATAATAGTTCCTACTTCTCAGGGTTATTGTAAGGATCAAGAAAGGTAATGTTTGTGAAGTGCTTAGCACAGTGCCTGACCTTTTTGTTATTAAGTCATTTCAGTCATTTCAGACTCTCTGTGACCCCATTTGGGATTTTCTTGGCAAGAATAGTGGAGTGGGTTGCCATTTCCCTTTCCAGCTCATTTTACAGATGAGGAAACTGAGGCAAACAGGGTTAAGTGACTTGCCCAGCGTCACACAGCTAGTAAGTGTCTGGAATCATATTTGAACTCAGGTTTTCCTGACTCCAGGCCTAGTGCTCTATCCATTGCAGGTTGCTTAATAAATGTTTGCTTCCTTCCTTCCTACTGGCAGCCAGAGATTCCCCAACCATCCCATAACAACGTGGGCCAACCCAGAGTCCACCATGGCCTGCCCTTCTCAACAGTACAATCTAAGGATCCCTGGACTTTGTCATGTACCCTAAGGAACATCTGAACTTTCCTGTATGTGTTATACTCCAATTAGAATGTGAGCTCCTCAAGACCCAGGAACCAATTGGCTTTCTCTTCATATTTCCTGTACTTAATACAATACTTGGAATCTAGTGAGCACTTAATAAAAGTTTTTCCACTTTCCCTTTGTAATTCCAATCATCCCTGCAATTTGTATGGCTCATTTGTATGATACTGTTCATTGAGCAGGAGCAGCCAGGATAAGAGTCAGGAGACATGCGTACAAAGGCCAGCTCCAGCACTGAGTTTGAATCTCACTTCTGATGTTTGCTGTGTCACCTTGAGCAAATCCTTTTATTTCTCTGAACCCCAGTTTTCTCATCTATAAAATGAAGAAATTGAGCTAGATGGCCTCTGTGGTCCCTTCTGGCTCTAAGATTATGATTTGGTGCTTTCCAGAAACACAGGAGGTCGAGTTTCATATTTGCTGAGTCTAGAGAAGTTAAGAGACCTGCTTCAGGTCACACTGAATGGGCAGAGTGGCCAGAGCACTGGACTTGAAGTGGAGTCCTGGGTTCCAATTTGGCCTTAGATGCTAGCTGTGTGACCCTGGGCAAGTCAGTTAGCTTCTCAGCCTCAATTTCCTCACCTGTAAGATGGGGGTAAAAAATAGCACCTACAACAATACAACATGGTTGTTGTGAAGAGCAAATAAGGTAATATATCTAGAGAACATTGTAAACCTTGAAGAATTATATAAACCTCTTATCATTAGTTAGCAGAGCCAGGACAAGAACTCAGGTCCAAGCACATTTCCACTTTCCCATGCTTCCTCTCAGCTCTATGACCTTATACAAATAACTTCTCCTCTGTAGGGCTTGGTTTCCCCATCTGCAAAATGGACAGACTACATAGTAATATTGCAAGAATCACATGAGATAATTTCTTTGTTGTACTTTGTAACAATAATTGATATGTAAATGTGAAATCTTACATTTATTATCATCATCCAATAGCTTTCACTTCCATTATCTTATCTGAGCCTCACAACTGCTCTATGAAGTTAGCTGGGCAGAGATCATTCTTCCCATTTTAGAGATGAGGAAATTGAGAGTTGCTCTGCCCATCATCACAAGGGAAATGAGTGACAGTTGAGGTGAAAACTCAGATGACCTACTTCTCAGACAAGTGCCCTACCTCTGGAGGGGCTGAGATGGGAAGAGAAGAGGGCTGGTTTGGGATCATTCTTACTCAAGTGTAAATCTCCCTGACTTTGTCAGAGTCCGATCATGGCACAGCTGGTGCTCAAGGTGAGACTTCAGCTTGTGCAAAAACACTGAGGGGGCTCTGTGGACTTTTCCTTCAACCCTGAAGATAATAGAAACAGAATCCTACAGAACAAACTGAACTTTTAAAACTGTGACTATTTTAAACTGATTTTTTTTTACAGTTATGAAATAATTCCAGATGCAAAAGCCCATAAGAAATCCCATAGGAGGAGGGTGATACCTCGGGACTGGGGTGTGGCATCGGCCTCCACGGGTGATGCCTGCACAGGAGACGCTGAAGGTGAATGCAGGGGTACCGATGGAGGATATGACGTAGCTGGGGACGTGGGGGATACTGTTGGTGATGGCTCTGTGAGTGAAGGAAGTGACTGCACAGGCATTGATACTGGTGATTGTCCTGGGGGTGAGACAGGCAACTGGGCAAAAGATGATAGAGATGACTGCATGGGTAGAGGTGAGGAGGGTGACTGCACAGAGCAGAGATACGTGGATGACTGCATGAATGATGGAAGCGATTGTGCCATAGACTGAACAAATGGTGATAAGGCTGACTGTTCAGGTGGTGACGGGAGAGGGAGCCCGAGTGAAGGAAGCCATTGTGCCATTGACTGAACAAATGGTGATACAGCTGACTGTTCAGGTGGTGATGGGAGAGGGAGCCCCGCAGGTGAGACAGGAGACTGCACAGGTGACTCTATGAATGGTGGAGTTGACACTGTAGACGGCTGCATGGCTGGCGATAGAGGGAGCTGGGCAGGGACAGATTCAGGTGCCTGCCCAGCAGAGGAGTCAGGTGGCCCATCATCGTCCTTCACAGTCCCCTTGGTGGCCTCATTCAGAGTGTGGCTCGAGAGCTCTGACGAGCTGGCTTGTGTGGTCTCGGGGTTCTGCTCATCAGTCCCTTTCCATTCCCTGCATCGGGACAAATTTCCAAAGCAGAACACTTCCACCCGTGGGAACATTAAATTCCTGGTGGGGGACTCGAGGTAGACGCCATCTAGCAAAGACAACAGAATGAGCGTCTTCATGGCAACCTACATTAACAAAGCACTTGAAAACAAAACTTCTTCAAATCACCCATATTGACACATTTCATTTCGATCCTTAAAATCCTGTAAAGGGGCAGCTAGGTGGCGCAATGGATAGAGCACTGGCCCAGGAGTCAGGAGAACCTGAGTTCAAATTCAGTCTCAGACACTTGACACTTAAGTAGCTGTGTGACCCTGGGCAAGTCACTTAACCCTGATTGCTTCACCAAAATAATAATAAAAATAAATTAAAAAATAAAAGGCTATAAAGTGGGGAAAGCAAGCATCCCTTTGCTCAGAACTTAGAGGGCAATTCTGGTTCTGCCACTTACTATATGGGCAGCTAGGTGGCACAGTGGATAGAGTGCTGGGCCTGAAGTTAAGAAGACTCATCTTCCTGAGTTCAAATTTGGCCTCAGACACTTACTAGCTGTGTGACCCTGAGCAAGTCACTTAATCCTGTTTGCCTCAGTTTCTTCATCTGTGAAATGTGCTGGAGAAAGAAAGGGTAAACCACTCTAGGATCTCTGCCAAGAGAACCCGAAATGGAGTCATGAAGAGTCAGATCTGTAGGGTTTAAAACTGTCAAAGCTACAATAAAAGAAACTGAGGCAGAGCTCTGGGCCAATGGTACTTTATTAAAGGATCCATGGTCCCCTCTAATGAAGTGAACCTCAGATCTTCCTCATAATCTGAGATGCCCATGGTCCCTTGGACCTTGTTTTTATAGGGTTCAACATCCAAATATACAAAAGAAGGGTGGTAAAATACAGAATCTCATTAGCTGAAGACTTTGCTCTTGAATGCCAAAAATAATGTATCATCCAAAAAATGGCACATCAGCAGGGAGGTCTCAGGTTGGGCAAAGCACAGGACATCCTCACTGACTAGGCAGTCAGAAGATGGTCACCTGCTCATGATGAACAAGAAAGAGCAGTCCAGATATACAAAAAATAAGTTGGGGGGCTTTCCAAAAAATCAAGACATCCTCCTCATGCTGGCTTTAGACACGGAATTTGAGCAAAACAGGATGGAGATACCTTTGTCAGCATTCTTGTGGTTGTGCAAGTGAGCTTCATAACTGGTAATTAAGTAGTGAACATTACATTAAATTTTGAGGCCCATTATAAAGGCCTACCATAAGAATGTGTCTTATCTAATTATCCTGTATGATTTATGTAAAATCTCAAACTGATTAATATTTATTGGAACAGAGTAGGGGTCCAAATGAATCATTTCTCACAGACACAACTGAAATGACTGAACATCACTTACTGTATGTGACATATATACATATATGTGCACTATATGTGAGATATATATATATATATATATATATATATATATATATATATATATATATATATATACATATGGGTATACATGCATGTGCAAGTCACTCAAGGCCTCCATTTCCTCACCTAAAATGAACTAGATGGCCTCCTTACAATCAAAGGCTAGCCTCAGTATTGTAAGTGGCTCTTCCAAGGGCCTTTGTGATATAAATCTCAACCCCAAATTGGAGACCAAAAGTCTTTGTACCTCTGAATAAATTATAAGCATCAGGGGACCAATTGGAAGTATCTGGAGAAGGATAAAAGGAGAGATTTTTCAGGTGAAATTTCACTGGGGGTGGGGGAGTAGGGTGATTTGCTGTTTCATCTGAATATGAAAAAATTATTAATTATAGTTTAATTTTAATTAATATTTTAATTACTATAATCAACTGTTGGTTATCATATTGTTTGTTACATGATGAATGATAAAATAATTATTCTATTATTAACTGTTGATATTATAGCTAATATCTAATTGCTGATAAGATAATTTATATTAATTATAAAACTTACTTAGGGGGATGAACCACGTGACTATATTTTCTAGACTCCACACATAGTTCCTATTGGTGTCTCATCAAAAGCAATGACATCCATGTTAATGGAACATCAGTGAGAGTTCTGAAAGCAGCAAGGAGGAGGAGTGATGTAGAATTAGTCCAAGGTCAAGAGAGCCCTTCCCATCACTTCCAGCTGCCTCCCTAACCTTCTTCCCTAAAAGGAAGGAATTTGATCTTAGTAGCTCCAAACTGTACTGCTCCAAACAGCACAAACAGTCTTCAATTTCAAAGAATCACAGATTTGGGGAATTGGAAGGGACCTCCATTAGACATTTAGTTCAACCAATACATGAAAGGAATCCCCACTCTAACGTACCCAGAAAAATGGCCATCTAACCACCAAGAACCTAGCCTCTCAAGGCAGCCCTTTCTTATGTGAGGCAGGAAGTCTTTCCTGGCATCAATCCTCAATTGATATCTTTGCCACTTTCACACCCAGGGAGATAATCTGCTGGAGCCATAGAAACTATGTGATACAAGGAATGCTGTAGGAAAATAGAAGACTAGATTTCAAATTTCCTGAGTGACCTTTCCAAAGTCTCTCAACCTCTCTGGGCCTCAGCTGCAAAATGAGGGGGTTGAATTAGGTGATCTCCAAGGAACCTTCTGAATTTATAATCTATAAAGTTGTGATCTATGATCTATGAGGTATGACTAAAACCTTAATGTTCATTTGTGCTCTTCCCCATTGGAGGATGATTCTGTAGACTAGGTTTGGAGAGAAATGTTGCTTTCCCACCACTAGAGGGACACATGTCCACCACCAGCAGAAGCAGAATTCGTGAATGGCAAGGCATATTGTACCATGTCGTGGGAACAAAATCCCGGGCTTTTGGAACAGGTTTCACATTCAGAGGCTGGTATTTATTTAGCTTGTTCTTAAAATTCTCCAGGGAAGGAGCATGCTACCTTGTGGTGTTGCTCCAGATAAAGCAGTCCCCTGAGTGTTTGAGTTGAGGAGCTTAGAAAAGGGTCCTCTCCCAAGAGCAGATGTCTTCCCCTCCACCCTCCACCCTCCACCTTCCTCTGATCCTCCAGCTCCCTCACACTTGAGCAGAGTTCTCCTGATCAGTGGGAGCAGCTGGTCTCAGACTCGCCATGCCACGCTGCATTCTAGCTCTGACCTTCACCTTCCTACCACCTCTTTTCTATCTCTTGCTCCTGGAATAGTAACTGAATCAAATCTACCTCCTGGAAAGGGTGTGTTGATCAGTTGTCCTGTGACTCTACTCATCATCCTGTGATTTCCCATACTAAAAGTCCTTCCCTCTCCTGGCTACGACTTTCCTATATGTGTGGTGTTCTTCTATTAGAATGTAAGCTCCTAGCGGACAAGGACTGTCTTGCTTTTTGTATTTGCATCCCAAGAATTTGGCACAGTGCCTGGCACACAGAGTGCTTTAAAAATGCTTTTTCTTTTTTTTGTTTTGAGGCAATCGGTGTTAAGTGACTTGTCCAGGGTCACAAAGCTAGTAAATGTCTGAGGCCAGATTTGAACTCAGGAGCTCCTGACTATGGGCTGGTGTCCTATGCACTGCATCACCTAGCTGCCCCAAAATATTATTTTTCATTCATTCATTGTTAAAATTTTTCTTGGGAGATTTGCCTCGGTCAGACCACATGTGGCATTATGAGATAGGTAGGTAGTTAGAGTGCTAAACTTGGAGTTAGGAAGACCTGAATACAAATCCTGCCTTGATTAGTTACTATATGACCCTGGACAAGTCTCTTGACTTCTTTCTGCCTCAGTTTCTTCATCTGCAAAATGGGAATAATAAAAGCACCTACCTCACAAGGTTGTTGTAAGGTTCAAATGTAAATTGTTTTGTGAAGCTTAATATGCTATATGAAGGGTAACTTTTATTATTATTCAGTTCTGGGTGACACATTTTAGGAGGAACATGCAGGTCCACAAGAGAGTAAGTATATAAAGGGGATTTGACTGAGATCACTTGACTTCCCCAGCTTCCTTCAAGTCTCAGCTAAAATCTCATCTTTTGGAGAAGCCTTTCCTGATCTCCGTTAATGATGGTAAAGTTGCATGTCATCCCCCCTATTAGACTGTAAGCTCCTTGAGGGCAGGGACTATCTTTTCCCTTTCTTTGTATCCCAAGTGCTTAGCACAGTGCCTGGCACACAGTAGGCACTTAATAAATGCTTATTGACTGACTGGCTAACATCACATAAGATAATCTGTTGAAGGAGATGGTTGACTTGGAGAAGACATGATAATTCACATTAAATATCTGAGTGGTTGTTGCATGGAATCATTGGATTTGCTTTTGACCTCAAAAGGTAGAACTAGGGCCAATGGGTAGAAGTTATAGGAAGACAGATTTATGTTCATTGTAAGGAGAAATTTCCTATTAATTACAGCTGTCCAACAATGAAACAAGGTAGTCTATTTGTTTGAGGCAGTTGATTCCCAGTCATCAGAAGTGTTCAAGCAGAAGCTAGCTTCCCATTGGCATAGGAAGAGGCAGCTAGCGGTGCATTAGTTAGAATACTAGACCTAGAGCAAGGAAAACCAGAGTTCTAATCCGGCCTCAGAAAGTTAATATCTATGTGATCCTAGGCAAGTCACTTAATCTCTACCTCAGTTTCCTCCTCCATAAAATGGAGAGGGGGGAGTAACACCTACTTCCCAGGTAGGTTATGAGAATAAAATGAGATACAGATGTAAAACACTTTGCAAACCTTAAAGCACTATGTAAACACTAGCAATTATTATTATTATTACACTCAAAGACAGGAGACAGAGATCCAGGTTGAGCTCCACCACTTATCTATTACCTGTGTAACCTTGGGAAAGTCACAACCTCCTTCTGGGCCCCAATTTCTCCATCTGTTACATAAGAGGACTGAACTATTTAATCTCTGAGGTCCTTTCTAACTCTGAGTCTATGAATCAGTGGTACTGAGACCTTTTTATTTCCCCAGACCTGTTGTTGTTTTCATTTGTCCTTAATTCTTTTTCTTTTTGCTGTTTTTTGGTGAGGCAATTGGGGTTACGTGACTTGCCCAGAGTCACACAGTTAATAAGTGTTATGTGTCTGAGGTCAAATTTGAACT